AGCCACTGGCAGCAGAGATCCCAGAGTTGACCAAACACTTTCTGAGGCCCTTCAACTTCCTCATAGCGAAACTGCCGGAAGCGTTGGCATCTTAACGCCACGCTGAGCTTGCCCTCCTCCACCAGCTCTTCCTTCACTTCCACTGGGGAATCCAGGCCTTTATAAAATTCAGGAACTTCCATGCAGCCCAGGCCTGGCAAGGTTTCGGATGCAGCTTTTCCTCCAAAGGACCGTTGATGGAGATTGGCCTTTCTGCTAAAAGTCGGCCTAGTGTTATTCTCTGGTGAGGACTGAGAAGATGGAGAGTTTCTTCCATCCAAATATTGAGCCCTCAGAGTTCCTCTTTTCTGGATCTCAAACAACTGGTCCAGCCCCTCTTCTGGTTCTTGCTTAATCTGAGATGTAGTGAAACCCTTCAGATATTCCCGTGTTGCCACAGTTTGAACAGTTCCCCTTTCTGGTGCTTCCTTTCTTGCCTGTGACCCAGACAAGTCCTGTAGCTCCATCTTTCTTCCTGGCAGGAATAGAAATTATCATAATTACTAATGCACAAAAGGGAAGCCAAGGATCCAAAAAAGGTCTGTTTCTCCGCAGTGCTTCTTGATGATCTGAATCCAGTTGATTTTCTACAAGAATAATTTTTTAGGGCAAAATCAACATTCACCATTCAAGCTACTGTGATGCCCTGTGTGTACAAAACAGGAATATAAATCAAACTAACAAAGACATAATGTTAAGGCAAACTGACGCCCTTTTGGGATAAAGTCAGCTTTTAATATTTGAAATAGGAGATTTTTGCCTCTGCATGCTGAAAGCCCCACCGATTCTGAGAATTCCCTCCTGAAACAGTCCTGGCTGTACAGATGATTTAATTTGATCACTGCTTTTAAATTTACTCTGTTAAAATACTGCTTGACATTTCACAGATCTTGGGAAATTAAACAAGGGCGCACATGTTTACCTGATACATATACATAGGTGACCATGAAATCTTGGAATTGAACATTAAATCATGAAGTCAAACAAATTTCAGAAGAGGACACCGGCAAGAAAGCAATCCAAATGCCATTCGGAGTAAAATCTGGCTCCGTTCTTTCTAAATTGCTGGAAAGTTCTCCATATTTTAGCAGTTGTAAAAATAGCAGGTTGTTTTTTCTCCAGTCCAAACAAACCACCCATAAAAGAAATACAGGTAGTCCTTGATTTACAACTGTTCATTTAGTGACTGTTCGAAGTTACAATAGCACTGAAAAAAGGGACTTATGACCGTTTTTCACACTTACGACCATTGCCGCATTGATCATTGGTCACGTGATCAAAATTCAGCTCCTTGGCAACTGACTCATATTAATGATGGTTGCAATATCCTGCAGTCATGTCTTCTGCACCCTTCTGACAAGCAAGGTCAATGGGGGAGCCCAGATTTACTTGGTTCCACCACAAAACCGCGGTAGACAAAAGCGCGCTCGACAAAAGCGCGTACGTGACGTCATCACAGCACGAC